GGCATCGACTTTGGTCTCACACACGGATCTCTCGTACTGGCCGTCGCCGCTCAGCCGCTCCGGAACCCCCCATGCCGGCATCACACCATCCAGCGAACCGCTCGCCGTCGTCATGTCCAGCCCGACTTCCAAAACTCCATCCAACCCCCCCGCTCCCTGACCTCCCCCGAGGCGCCCCGGGGCCCGGGAGGGGGGAAATGCGTGGACTCCAATGTGCCCACCATGATGATCCAGGCCCCTCATTTCCCCGGTTATTCACCCTTCCCCCTCCCCCCCCCCCCTTCCCCCCCCCCCCCCCCTCTCAACCGATTTCTTGTGCTCGACCATCATCGCGGGGAACAGCAAAGACGGCGTAGCACTGACGACGGCGCAACCATCGGTGGCATGGTTAGATCTGGCGAGGGGGACGATGGTTGGTGGAGAGGCAAAACAGTAGGCGGAGTCGGACGCGTTGTCGAAGTCAGAGGCGGAGCAGCGGCAGCGATGGCAGGGGCCGATGGATCGCTGGGCGCGACGGCGGTAGCGGAGCAGCAAGGGCAAGGAGGACGACGGCGCAACCATCGGTGGCATGGTTAGATCTGGCGAGGGGGACGATGGTTGGTGGAGAGGCAAAACAGTAGGCGGAGTCGGACGCGTTGTCGAAGTCAGAGGCGGAGCAGCGGCAGCGATGGCAGGGGCCGATGGATCGCTGGGCGCGACGGCGGTAGCGGAGCAGCAAGGGCAAGGAGGAGTTGAGCGTCGGAGCAGGAAGGGATCCAAGACCGAGGTGTACGGCTTTGTGGGTTGGGTAGCGTCGACGCTGGTGATGATGGTGTACATTGCATGGGCGTTCTCATCAGACGAGACCCTGTTCTCCCTGGGTATCTCGTACTTTCCATCCAGGTATTGGGCGGTGGCGTTGCCGGCCTTTCTTGTCGCCATCATGCTCTGCGTGCTCCCGGCGTTATTTGCGGTGACTCTCTCGCTCACCCGCCCGCTCACCAGCCTCGATCTCGTCTTTGATGAGCACACCAAGCCGCCGGTGGAAAAGGTGCATCCAGACGCCCTCGCGCCACTGTACGACATTCCGCTGTCGGTTGTCAACGAGCTCATGTACGACCACGCTCACACAGACAGCCGGGCGGCATGGAGCTGACGGATGCAGGCTGACATGACAACACGCGATGACCAGTGATGGCCGTCGATGGCAGGATACAGCAGAAAGCGATTGACCGCCTGCTCGGCGACATTGTCGTCAGCCCGCCTGCATGTGCGGCGATTCTTGTATGTCCGCGTTGACCGGTTCCTGTTGACGCCGTTTGACGGAACACGTACTGGTCACGCGAGCATCTCGGTTCGCTCTTCAGCGGCTTCAACACAGCCTTGCTTTCTGTGTTGGACATGTCATATGTACAAAGTAAAAGTGGACGTAATAGGGATGATGATGATCTGTGACTGCTGGTCCACACGCGAGAGACAACGCGAGCTGGTGACAGCTAATGAGGTCTACGCTGGCAAACGTTGCATATCCTCTTAATTGGCTCCGCTGTGACTGGTCAAGGGGTGGGAGGGAAAACCGACTTGGTCTTCTGGCACAACCCTGACCAGTCAGCGACCAGAGCAACCGTAGCAATCATTGGCGCAAGCCTGATTAAGTACTCGTCTCGCCTAGCTTCCGTCCCGAGCTACGCCCTCAGCGGGGACTCTTTGCTGTTAAGCTGTCTCCAAGCAGAGGTGAGTAAGTCACACAAGACACAGAGCCATGCCTGTTGAGGTCTGGGCGTGGGGAGCGGGTGGTGGCGGCCGAATTTCGTCGTATGGTGTTCTTCGCCGTGGCGTGAAGAATGATTCGCCGCTCGTCGTCCTCCCTCCAATGGCGGCAGCCGGTAGTTACCCACTCCCAAAGTATGCCGAGATCGTGAGGGCAACGTACTCGGCGATACATAGCAAGCAGGCGTGTGGGGTCCGTAGAGGGTACAAGGTGACGTCGGTCCGCAAACTCGCTATCTCGGACACCGACCAAGAGCCGCTCGAGTCCGCTGGCACGTCCGAGTCATCGCGGCGGCGGCCGACCGATGACACAGGATCTCGCGGCGAGTCGATGCAGACTGTCGAGACAATTCCTGGCGCCTCCATGTCGATGCTGGACACAATGATGGTTCAGACTGGGCTTGGTCTGGAGGACGAGGACGTGCTTGTCCGCCAGCTGCGGCGCAAATTCAACAAGATGCGCATCATGCGCGAGACCCGGGCAGCCATGGCGAGCTCGACCAAGTCCCTGGCGGGTGGAAAGTCGGCCGAAGCCCTGGACCTGCCGGAGGACAGCAGGCGAGCGAGCCGTAAGCGGTTGGATGCTTCGCGCCGCTTTCGCCGGCGGACCGAGATGCCTGGGCAGAAGGCGAAGAATGCCAGCATTGACTTTGAGGCGTGGAAGAAGGCGCACGAGCGCCTGCAGTCGTCATCGACGTCGAGCACCTCGAGCAGTGCGTCGATCGCAGCCAAGGACGATGGTGCCGCCTTGAAAAGCAGCAAGCGGCGCAAGTCCAGCAGCAACTCGATCAAGGCACGCAAGGGGAAGCGGCGTGGGAAAAGCAGCAGCTCGACGTCCGGGACCGGAGACCTGCCGCTGGGTCTCAACCAGACAAGCAGCTCGTCGTCTGAGGGCGCCGCAAAGAAGAAGAAGAAGCGGCATGGGTCACGCCGCCTGTCGAGCCGAAGCCGACGGAGGAAGTCGAGCTCAAAATCGGTGGAGAAGGACGAACCGACAGTGGATAAGCACAACGAGGCCAAGCGGGCGCTGATGCGCGAGCTAGCCAAGGAAGCACACGCGTCGATGAAGAATGTGGACGTACAGCTCTCAACAAGCCACGGTTCACCCTCGAGCGACGTGTTCTACTCGTCGGAGAGCAGCACAACAAGCACCTCATCGTCGACCACATCGTCGACCACGTCCTCAAGCAGCTCGAGCTGCACGAGTGTACCCCAGCCGGATCCCGACACCAGGCTGGACGACCGGTGGCTCGAGGCACGGCGCAACTCGATGTATAACGCCAAGTCGCCATCGATGGACAAGCTGCGGTCGCTGGCGGAAACTTCGTTCGGGCTCTACACCTCGATGCCATGCTCGTCGGTATTGAGCACAAATGGCGACCTACATTCTGCCCGGATCTACAGCGATGTGAATGCAAGCCTTGGCTCGCTCCGGTTGTCACGGGCTGACCTTGTCCAGCACCTCAACGAGGGCATGAACGAGCCGACTTTGGAGCCGGCGTCGCACCTGGAAGGCCACCTCGCGCCGAGGATGGTGGCAACGATGAGTGGGGATACCAGCCCAGGCGTGCCACAGCCGTTCAAGCGTCAGTCGCGAGTCCGCTGGGATCTGGCGGCTACCCAGGAGTTTGTCATCGGCGAGCCGCATGACGACGTGCTGTTGTCGACTTCGCTAGACTCGTCGTTGTCGTCTTCGGTTGGCCTGCCGAGGCTGGACAAGCCGCGGAGTGAGCTCATCGCCGAGTTGAAGGCGTGGTCAGTCTCGTTCGATGCTTCGATTGCGGCCTTGTCGACGAGTCTCGTCGCTCCACGCGGGCAGAACAACTTTTCAGCCTCGCTTATTACCGGGATTCAGTCTGCGCCAACACCCGAGACTGCACCGCTCTTGGTCGAGCCGCTGATGGAGCAGATTAAGGAGGCGTAGTCTTCCTATAAGTTATACTGCAATATTTATTCTGCTCCGAGTGAAACGAGTGGCTGCTCCGAGTGAAACGAGTGGCGGCGGTTGGCAGAGTGGCAGCGGGCGAACGAGTGGCGGCGGCAGACGACGCGGAAGAGGCAACACCTCTCGTTGCCATTTTGAGACAAATGTCGTCTGCTGATCCCATGGTTGATGCGCCGAGCGCAAGTGGCAAGGCCAAGTCCAAGTCCAAGGCCAAGTCCAAGTCCAAGGCCAAGTCCAAGGACAAGTCTAAGGCCAAGTCCAAGTCCAAGTCCAAGTCCAAGTCCAAGGCCAAGTCCAAGGACAAGTCCAAGTCCAAGGACAAGCGCAAGCGGGAGGACGAGACCGAGGAGGACAACGCCGCGGATGCCACCGCATCGCCTGCTTCCAAGAAGCCCAAGGTTGATCTCTCGGCCATGACCTGGCGCGAGCGCAAGCAGTACCTCATGCGCCAGGAGAAGGAGCAGGCGTCGGCGGCCGACGAGGCCCATCTTGTCGACGTCGGTGCAAAGGTACGTACCACGGGAGCTGCTCAGCAGCCGCTCAGGGTAGAGCTATTGACCTAGGGAGGCGACCTGTTCGTGTTCCGGACCCAAGCACGGGTCAGGGATTGGGTGGATGGTGGATGGATGCACTCCTTGTCCTGTACAGGGCGGGGCAAGGGGGGTGGGGGAGAGTCTCTCATCATCTCCCATCCAGATCCTCCCATCCACCCACCAACATTGCCTGCCAGGGATGGAGGAAGAGGAAGGGGGAGGGGCGAGAGGGCGGGAAGGGGAGGGAGGGATAGGGTGGTGGGAGGGGGAGGGGGGATGGCTTTGCACTCACTTATTGCTGCACTCTCTTCCGTGGTTGGCGTGGTGGTGGCTTGGCTTGTCGGTGGCTGGCTCGTCATCGCCTGTCGGACTGTGGCGGTTTTGCGGCTCGAATGCTCAATTTCGCTCTGCAACGAATGGACGACGACGTTATTGATGGACACAGCTCCGCGAGCTGGCCAACTACTAAGAGCGGACATGGCCATGCTTGCCTTTATTTTTGCGACCTACTACGGTTGTCGGGCCGCTGCGAAGCGACGACGGCTCGAAGTAGGTGGCCTGACCTGGGTTGGGTCTGGATGGTGGGGATGCGAGTCGGTCGACGACATGACGCACTGCGACGTCATCGTCGGCGCTCGCAGACAACGGTAAAGATATGGACAGCACAATTAGGCGACCAGGGGCCACGAGGTTCAGGAGAAGATCGGATCGGGGAGGAGCTCGGGCCGGAGGCGCGGCGGCGAGCGACCGAGGTCGGCCGAGGTCGAGGCGTAGGCAGCCGAGACCAGCTTGTTGTGCAGGTCGCGGACATGGGCATCCGACACGACCAGCTCGTCAGCGAGCTTGGCCAGCGTGTCGTGGGCGGCAACGAGGCCTTTCGACTTGGCTTCGATCTCGCGCTCGGCGCAGAGCAGCTCGTCCAGAGTGGCGCGCAGCGAGTCTCGCAGCCGGTCGGCCTCGTCCTCGGCCTCGCGTCGGGCGCGCTGCTCCATATGCAGTGCGTGCTCGAGTTCGCCGATGCGTGACTGCAACTCGGCGACGCGAAGGTGGGTCTGGGCGGCATGGCTCGGCGGCGTTGCCGCCTCGCGCTCGCTTCGGACCCGGGCACGCTCGCGAGTGAGCGCCAGTTCTTGGGTGAGGCTCTCGATGATGCGATGGAGGCGAGCCATGTCAGAGTTGCGCCCCTCGTCGACGACATCATGGTCTGCGGATGTACCGTCGAACAATTGGTTGGCGAGGTCGTGGTCTGCGGATGTGCTGTTGAGCGATTGGTCGGCGAGGTCGTGGTCTGCGGGTGTGCCGTCGAGCGATTGGTCGGCGAGGTCGCGGTCTGCGGATGTGCCGTCGAGCGATTGGTCGGCGAGGTCGCGGTCTGCGGATGTGCCGTCGAGCGATTGGTCGGCGAGGTCGTGGTCTGCGGATGTGCCGTCGAGCGATTGGTCGGCGAGGTCGCGGTCTGCGGATGTGCCGTCGAGCGATTGGTCAGCGAGGTCGCGGTCTGCGGATGTGCCGTCGAGCGATTGGTCGGCGAGGTCGCGGTCTGCGGGTGTGCCGTCGAGCTCCTCGTCAACACCGCCGTGGTCTGCGGATGTGCCGTCGAACTCCTCGTCAACACGGCCGTGGTCTGCGGATGTAACTTCAAGTGGCTCGACGGCGTTGCCATGGCCACCAGGCGCACTTGCGCGAGAGACAGATACTTCCTCCACGGCGCCAGAAATACCATCATCTGCAACATCAACCTCTTCCCAGCCACCCCCAGTCTCGTTGCTCAGATCGGTGCCGTCTCCGATCACGTCTTCCTCGTCATCGTAGACGTACTCAAACTCAAACTCAAAGCCCTCGCCCTCGCCATCCGCGTCGCCTTCGCCATCCGTCTCGCCAGCCTCCCATCTATCCGCGCTCTCGCTCGCACCATCTCCAGTCCAGCATCCAGGCCCATCGTCGCAAACAGAGGCGCCTGCCGCACCAGCTGCGTTCTCTGCTGACAGCATGTCGCCGCGAGCCGCCGCAGCAGCAAGGGCCGACTCGACGCCGGAGAGGACGTGCTCGCAGGCGGTAGACGCTTCCATGAGCGCACTGTAGAGCTCGTCACTCTCGCCACCGCTGCTGGCTTGGCCTCTACTCCCTACACCTGGTCCTCCTTCTGCTCCCGTCGCTGTCACCCTCTTGTCACCCTCTTGGCTCATCTCCCGCGGAAACGGTAAAGAGTAGAGTGCCAAGTGCCGTCACGCGAGTCGTCGGACGATGCGAGTCCTGACCTTGACCCGGCCATAGACGGGTGTCGATCTGATGTGGCGGGCTCTACAGAGTGTGACATGGATCGATTGTGTTATTCTGCCCTCGCTGGAAAACGGGGGTGCGCTCTAAGAAGAGCGCAGGTTGTTGTAGGACGTGTTAGGTCCAGAGCACGCGTGCGCGAGCCGAAAGGCGAAGCTTGCTTACTTCTTCTTCGACTTGTTGGGGAGGAGGACGGCGTGGATGTTGGGGAGGACACCACCCTGGGCGATCGAGACGTCCTTGAGCAGCATGTTGAGCTCCTCATCGTTGCGGATGGCGAGCTGGATGTGGCGCGGGTTGATGCGCGCACGACGGTTGTCGCGGGCAGCGTTGCCAGCGAGCTCGAGGATCTCAGCCGCGAGGTACTCGAGGACAGCAGCGAGGTAGACCGGAGCACCCGAGCCGATGCGCTTGCCGTAGCGGCCCTCCTTGAGGAACCGATGGATACGGCCAACCGGGAACTGAAGCCCGGCGCGCGAGGAGCGCGTGCGCGACTTGGACTTGCCTGTGGGCGTGGAGATGATGGTGAGTGGAGGAGGAGAAAAGAGATGGGATGAGGGGCATGATGTGTCAGCAAGTGTCCGTACCACCGCGGCCGCCCTTGCCCTTGCCACCCTTGCCAGCCATTATGTCTGTTAGGTAATGAGAATGAAGTATGCCAAACGACGCGGGTGAGGGAGGAGCAAAAAGGTGGGCAGCTTTTGAGGTGCTGGTCGTGTCCCAGTTACACAGTAGTGCATGTTGCACAAGTGTATATTTCGGCCAGTCCCAAAAGTACAAAACCTCGCACCGGCAGCGCGCGCGCCGACGCGACCCTCGTCTGCATCCACTACTCTCAACCTATCAACATGGCCAAGAAGTCGTCGTCCGCCCCCGCCGTCGCAAGCCGACCCAGTCGTACTCGTCGTACATCTACAAGGTGCTCAAGCAGGTGCACCCCGACACCGGCATGTCCCGCCGCGCTATGTCGATCATGAACTCGTTTGTCAACGACACCTTTGAGAAGATCGCCCTCGAGGCCTCGCGCCTTGCCAAGTTCTCGGGCAAGCAGACCATCACCTCCCGCGAAATCCAGACCGCTGCCCGTCTCATCCTCCCCGGTGAGCTCGCCAAGCACGCCGTGTCCGAGGGCACCAAGGCCGTCACCAAGTACACCACCTCGACTGCCTAAGCGCCTCTCCTCGCCCGTCCGTGAGCATCTGCTCGCAGGCAGGCAGCCAACCAACAACCTGCGCTCTTATTAGAGCGCACCCCCTTCCTTGCAGTGAGGGCAGAATAACACATCGATCGACCGTCTGCTTGGCCTGCGCGTGCCCTGACCACAGCCAGCTGCCGCAGCCGATGAAGATCGGACGTGGGCATGCACGTGAGCAAGGTACTGACTTTGTGCTCTGCACGCTCCTACCCCTACCCCCTACCCCCTAACCCCTACCCCCCTATCCTCATCTGATCGCCATTGCTCCCACATCGTGGTCCACGCAGCTGCGGCCCATCGGTGGTGGCTCCGCGGCTGCGCGCTCCTCGGCCAGCACGCACACTTCAAAGACACCCCCTGCACACACATCTTCCACATCGAGTTCGCCATAGTTCAATGGTAAAACATGAGTTTCATGCGCTCAAGCTCCTGGTTCGAGTCCAGGTGGCGAACTACTCCTGATCGTCGTCTTTCGTCGAGATGCTCCTCGAAGGCTCGGCTGCCGCTCTGTGCGGCGCTCCCGGCTCTTCGAAGGCCAGAACTCCCGATCGAAGGGCACGATCTTCCTTTTTGCCTCATCACCCACCCTCCACACCCTCTATCGGCACCCGTGGCCAACCCAGGTTGTGTGCCGTCTGCCTCTAGACCCATCCACACCGCGCATCGCTGCCGTCCTGTCCAGACCCCGACGCGCCGCCGCCGCACGCTGTTGCCACCATCGCTGCTAGTCCAAGCTGACTCTGCACTGCGCATGAACCTATGTGGCCTTTACTTCTTCTTCCGCTTCTTGTTGCCCTTCTTGCCCTTCTTGCCGCCGATGGTGGCGCCGTCGGCAGCAAACCACTCGGCGGCAATCCGCGCGACCTCTGCGCGAATGTCGCCGATGTCCAGCTGAGGGTTGACGTCACGCTCGTCGATTGACTCGGCAATGACGTCATCGACCACCCAGACCACAAAGTCGTCGGCGTGCTCGGCATCAAAGGTGTTGTCCGCCACCTGCGCGCGGCCCTGGTATAGCCTGGCGGGCGTGAGAAAGTACTCGGCGAAGGCAGCCACCGTCTCAAAGACCGGCGCGTGGAACTCAGCGGCTGCCCCGGCTCGCGTCACACGATGCGATGCGCCCTTGGCCTTGAAGAGGAACATGCTCAGTTGACCCTTGCTAATGTGCGCCGGCACGTCACCGGCCGCCGGGCGTCCGGTGGAGACCGGGTAGAAGACAAGGCCCTCGCCCGAGCCAGGCACGCCAAACTCGGCGCCGATGTACGGGTCAGCCTCGTCAATGGAGTTGACAAGGCCCGAGATGGTAACCATGGCGTCGCGGATGGCAGAAAACGACGACAGGTTGATGGCAAACTCACCGGTCTCCAGGCGCTCGCGCGCCGTGGCCAGCTCGTCAGTGCTGGTCAGCGAGCCAGAGGTCTCGAGCTGGACGACGACGGCATCAGTAACTTCAGCGGTCGGAACGTGCCATGGCAGGACCCGAATCTCGCGGGGGATCGCGCCGGTCGCCGCTGCGCCGGCAGCAACCAGGGCCTCGAGCTCGTTGGGCTCGACCACAACAACCGTCTTGCCGTCGGGAAGGGTAAAGCGGAGTGCAAAGATAGCAAACAGCTGCTGGTCGATGTTAGACACGGCAGTGGCGCACTTCTGGATGCCATCGCCAGCCCACTCGCCAAAGACCTCGACCTGGCGGGTGCTGGCCGCCGCGGCGGTGGGCGGAGAGTCGTCGGCGAGGCCCATGCACGCCGGAAGGGCGGCGAAGAAGTCTGCCCAGAAGTTGGCGACACCAGGCGAGGTTAGCCAGGCGCGAAAGCCATCGTTGTCCTGCGAGTCGGGCCAGAGGAAACGGTTGCGCGACATGCCGACGATGCCGATGCTGCTGCCAGCCAGCGGCCGCCTGTCATCGCCCATCGCCCGGAAGCCACAGATTCCGCCGTTGGTCCCGTGCAGCTTGATCTTGGCCTTGAATACCAGCGCCGGATTCTCCATGAGCGCCTTGTCCACCACCACCGTGCCTGCCTCCACTGCTCCCGACTGCTCAGCCTCAGTGACCGACTTGGCGTTGCGGATGCTCTTGAGCGCGGTTTTCATGGCGTTGTGGGCATGGGCGGTCTTGGGCCACTTGGACCAAACCGGTCGCGGCACCTTGCCGCCATCGCTCTTGACTCCGTTGTCTGCCATCATGTGAACAAATGACGCCCACCGATCGGCGACGAGTGCGATATGTCGTGCTTCCATCCGGTTATCGCAACCGTGGCAACGCCGCTGGTTTTGGGGGCGACTGCATAGGGAAGCCGAATCGAAGGAATGGAAGGCACCTCCGGCACGCCACCGGTCCAGCACCACATCATTAATCTCAAATGCGGTCATGACAAGGCAAAGCGATGGATACAAGTGAACCGGACACTCTGTCTGTTCTTGTGTCGCCCATAGCCCAGTGTGCTAAGCACGGGCTCGCCTCTCGCCGAAAGACAGCCAGCGGTAACGCCATCAATGACCATCCCACCTCTGCGCCTCTTTGTGTACCCATCCCTTACAAGCCACAGTGCGCAGAAGTGCAGACTCACTGCTGCGACAGCCGCCATCAAACAATTGTGGCAACCATTGGCCAGCGGGCAAAACGAGAGCGACCTGGACCCGGTTGGCAGACCCGTCAGTTTGACAGGACTGGCTTCCGCCCCGGGCCGCCCTCTGCCAGCTGCAGCACAGCCGGGTGCGCAGCTTCCCTCAGGGAGAGCCACCACACTCGCAGACATACAGACGTTGACGAGAACATGACCCGTCACCACCCGTACAAGGCAGCTTCGGAGAACGAAGGCACGGCCCGCGTGTCCAACCGGCGGACGGCCCAGGGCCGGGCCAAGGGCGGCCCAGGGCCAGGGCCAGGGCCAGGGCAACCGCCGCGGCGGACGGGGCAAGCAGTCCGCTGGTGGTCGCCGTGGTGGCCGCAAGGGTGGCCGCAA